GTTCGGATCCCACATACAGACCGGCCACTCACTGGCTGAGTGAGGTGCGGGTGCGGCGCCGAGGGTTGCGATCCTGTTGCCGGTCCCGGTCCGGTACGGGCACAACACTGAGGGTTGCGATCCATTGCCGGTCACGAAAAAAGACAAAAAGGAAAAAAAAAAAAAAAGAAGTAGAAGTAAAAGCTCCCACACTCGTTATCTTCCCTCAGCCCCAGAGATAGCCACCCTCCTGTCCATGGTTTTATTCTGCATTTGTATCCACAAGCAATAAATACTTCTGTTTTGTGTGTTTTTTAATTTACCTAAAAAGATACTCATATACTGGTTTTTTTCCATTTGATATTGTCTTATCTTAAAGATACCCTTATTGTTCATGTTGATACTAGTAGATCTAGCTCTCATATTTAAACTGCTGTATAGTTTAAACTGCCAAATTAATTTCCTTCTTGATGAATACTTGGGTTGTTACCAGTTTTTTTGCTATATGGGTCCACAGTCCTTTTTCTGAAACCCTGAGGACAAATCTGCTTTGGAATTCATATTTTTTTAGATTTTGGGAAAGAAATTGATACATGTAACCTATGTTATTTAACATCCGGGACATAAGGGTAGCACCCAGTAATAGAATGCTTGAATAACTGCAACAAAATTTCATACCACATGGAATAGAATAAACGAAGATCAGTCAGTAGATTCATGTCTGGTCAGGTTTTGCCACCCAATTAGTTTCTTACAAACTTACAAAAGACTTGGTTTTCAGAACTTTCTGTATTTTCGAATTGTGGATGGTGGATTATGAGCCTCTACAAAAATGCTTTGAACATCCCTGTTATATATGTATCCTCCTTACTGTATGTCAGAATCTCTCGGATATGTTTCTACAAGTGGAATTCTGGGTCATCAGACAGACACATACAGTCAGTCCTCCTGTCTGTGGGTTCTTCATCCACAGGTTCCACATCCGCAAATTCAACCAACCATGGATTGAAAATATTCAACCCCATAAATATGTACAATTATGTGTCAATTAAAAATAATAACAAAGGAAAAAAATTTTGAGCAGAAACAAAAATAACAATACAATAAAAAATACAAATTAAGGGCCGGCCCGGTGGTGCACTGCTGTAGTGTGCCACTTGGGAAGCACGGCGGCGCTCCCGCCGAGGGTTCGGATCCCACGTACAGACCGGTTCCCGTTCACTGGCTGAGCGAGGCGCGGGGGCAACACCGAGGGTTGCGATCCCGTTGCTGGTCCCGGTCCGGTGCGGGGGCGACACTGAGGGTTGCGATCCGTTGCCGGACACGGAAAAAGACAAAAAGGAAAAAAAAAAAAAACAATTCGTTCATTTTGATAACAAGGGAGTACATAAATAATATGGGAGAAGGGAAAACTTTTGCCTAGAATGTTACATCCTAAATGTGAAAATAATTATAGAATTTAAAAATCACCATTTTACAGTCAGCCATAGTCATCACATTGTATTAGGTATTACAAGTAATCTAGAGATGATTTAAAGTGTACTAGAGGATGGACATAGATTATATGCAAATACTACACCATTTTATGTGAGAGACTTGAGTATCTGTGGATTTTGGTATCCTCAGAAGGTCCTGGAACTAATAATCCTCCTCAGATACTGAGGGGCAACTATATTGATTCTACTCATTATTATCAGAAAGCTATTAAAGTGTTTTATCAATTTATAATCCTACCAGCTGTGTGTGAGAGTTCTAGTCTCCATACATCCTTATCAACACATGTGTTCTCAAACTTTAAAATGTTTGTCAATCTGATGGGAAAAACGTGATTTCATTGTTTTTAATTTGCGTTTTCCTGAGTTACTAATAAAGTCGAGCATTTCTTCATGTATTTATTGACCATTTGGGTTTCCTTTTCTTTTTTTAAAAGATGACTGGTAAGGGGATCTTAACCCTTGACTTGGTATTGTCAGCACCATGCTCTCCCAAGTGAGCTAACCGGCCATCCCTATATAGGGATCTGAACCCGTGGCCTTGGTGTTATCAGCACCACACTCTCCTGAGTGAGCCACAGGCTGGCTGGATTTCCTTTTCTGTCATTTGCCCTTTTCCACGAGCTTTTTTTTTTTTTTTTTTTTTGTCTTTTTTGTGACCGGTAAGGGGATTGCAACCCTTGGCTTGGTGTCGCCCGCACCGCGCTCAGCCAGTGAGCACACCGGCCATCCCTATATAGGATCCGAACCCGCGGCGGGAGCGCCGCTGCGCTCCCAAGTGCTGCACTCTCCTGAGTGCACCACGGGGCCGGCCCTTCCACGAACTTTTTGAAGTACCCTTGTATATTCTGGACACCAGTCCTTTGTTATCTGCTGCAGATATCTTTCATTCTCTCATCTTTTCATTATTTTTTTTGTGCTGCCTTTGGTATAAGGAATTTTTTTGTTGTAGTCAAATTTTTCAGTCTTTTCCTTTATGGTTTGTAGGTTTTTGGGGGTAGATTTTGGATTTTGTCAGTTTAGTAAATCCTTCTTTAACCCAAGGTCATTTATACATGCCTGTTTTTTCTTCAGAAAGTATGAAAACTTGCTTTTTACATTTAGGTTTTAAACCATCTTGAGTTTATCTTGGTTACACGAGGTGTCTTTTTTCCATGCAGATAACAAACAGAGCTGTCAGCATTTATTATAGTCCATTTTTTTCCAACTGATTTATCTCACCAAGTTCTCAAAGTATGTGGGACTGCTTCTGGGCTCTATTTTTTCCTCCTGGGTTAGGGTTAGGGTTAGGGTGTGTCAATCCTTGTCCATCTGTCCCTGCACTGCCGTCTTACTGTTTTAACTGTTATGGCTTTTGTCTCACTAGCAGGTGAGACAAGTTGTCACTCATACTTCTTTGGAGTTGTCTTGGCTATTCTTTGCCTCAACCCCCCCCCCCTTTTCTTTTTTTTTTTTTTTAATTATGTTGCTATTCTTGTTGGTAATGCCACCAGCTTTCAGATATGCTCTGTTAAGTCACTATTGAAAACTTACCTCCCTGCCTGCATCCAGGCCTTCAGGAAAGCACTGATTCTCTTCATCAGCATTACCATCCAGTCCACTCTAGCTGTTCCAACGGTTCATGCCCTGATCCAGATGTCCATCACCTCAAACTGCATCCCTCCATCAGCGTCATTACCTCCATGTCCCCCCATTCCAAACTATCCTGGACTTACTTTACTGAAGCAGCAGCCTGGTCTTGCTTAGGAGCACTGCGGGAGTCATTAGACAGCTGACCTTGTTCTTCTGGTGCTGTAGGTCATGTTTAGAGGCCACAGGGAAGCCCTGGAAAAGACTACAGGCAAGCTGAAACCATATTTGGGCTCCTGGCTTACTGGTAAATTTGAGGTTACAGTTTGTAGTGGTCACAATGGAGGATGATTGCTGACCCTTTCCTTCAGGATTGGGGGTGGTATGAGAGCTCAGCAGGCCCCTTCCATGTGGGCTCTAACATAGAGAGACCATAAGCATCAGGAGGTGGTTGTCAGGGCTGGCATAGCAATATTCCAAGGACTGACTAAGGGGGGACACTAGGAAAGGTTCTGAGGGTGACCTTAGCCAAGCCCTTGGAAGCCTCCAGAGGGTGCTCTGGGACCTGATGTCTGGGATCATGCCAGAGGTCCAGGCTACAGTGTTGTATTTCCAAATGAGATTCTAATCCCCTCCTATTGCCAGGGAAGGATGTTTACCAAACAGGAGATTCCTATCTTTCAGGGCCTTCCTCTGGATGGTTGCCTCCAACTAATTGCCTCATTCCTTTTGTTTAACTGTCCTTTAGGCAGGCCAGCTTGCTTATAATCCACATGACACACCTTGCATGTCTTTTTGCATATCATTTGCATCATATCTTCCCTCACCAAATCGTCTCCCTTCTTCAAAGTGATGCTCAGAACTCCCTCCATCTACAAAACTTCCCCAGCTTATATTTTCTTAACTCTAGCCCTTCAATATATTTGCCTGCCTTTGCTTGGCACCACTGTACTTAGCTCTTCGGCTTTCTGTTTGTTTGCACTTATGTACGCTGGTTTTCTTGTAAACCTTCTCCATGTCTATCTGGCCTATCATTCCTAATTACATTGTTTCTCAAGGACAAGATCGATGTCTCCCTTGCCCTTTTCCTCTTCCTAGTACAGACCAGTGCTCAGCACATTGGGTCATAGAACAGAGAGTGGGATTGGCTGAATCCAGTTCAAAGTTTATCAGTTGCTGTGTGACCTTGAACAAGTTACATAACTTTTCTGGGCTTCAGTTGTCTTATTTATAAAATGAGGATGAGAATAGCCTCATAGGGTTATTGACTTAGCAGAGTGTCTCAGATATGGTAAGCACTTAATAAATGCTGCCTGTCATTATTAATATTAGCGTTAAGATAGTAGAAACCATGCCAAAACTTGTGGCTAAAAGTTCTATATATCATACATTTTACAGTTCAGCAATGCTGTCAATTTAAATCAGTTACATGTAGGCATCAGAAAAATTCTCTTTCTTGGGGCTGGCCTGGTGGCGCACTGCTACAGTGCGCCGCGTGGGAGCGCGGTGACCCTCCCGCCGAGGGTTCAGATCCCACATACAGACCAGCCGCTCACTGGCTGAGCAAGGTGCGGGCGCAACACCGAGGGTTGCGATCCCGTTGCCGGTCCCGGTCCGGTCCGGGTGCAACACTGAGGGTTGCAATCCGCTGCCGGTCACGAAAAAAGACAAAAAGGAAAAAAAAAAGAAAAATTCTCTTTCCATGGGCTGGCCCGGTGGCGCACTGGAAAGTGCGCCGCTTGGGAGCGGGGTGGCGCTCCCGCCGAGGGGTCGGATCCCATGTGGAGACCAGTTCCCGCTTACTGGCTGGGCGTGGTGTGGGCGCGACACCGAGGGTTGCGATCCCGTTACCGGTCAGTAAAAAAGACAAAAAGGAAAAAAAAAGAAAAATTCTCTTTCGTGGATGAAGCACTGTTGATTACTCTAGTCTCACTCATTTCCTCCCTCTTCCTTTGATAGGCAGGTCCACGAGATCCAGTCTCACATGGGGCGGCTGGAGACAGCAGACAAGCAGTCTCTGCACTGTGAGTAATTAACTGTGGAGACCAGAGTCCTTTCTCTGATGACATGGGTGCTAATGGGCTGGGTTTCCTGACTGCATTCTGCTCAGGTGCTTAGTGATTCAGTGGGGAATGAGTTTTGTTGTTAGGGTGGACAGAAAAACCCTGTGGCAAAGTCACTGATTTCCCTGATTGTGCCCTTTGGAATCCCACAAGTCTTATCCCCCATTACCCCTCCACTCAACCTGACATGGCCCTATGGGAATGGAGGTTCTTTCCTCCATCTCTCTTAATCTAATTACCTAGTCCTTAGAGGAATGTACTCCATAAAAATTCAGAGATGTTTAACTGGAATTGGCCATTTCTTCTGAGCTGAGAACTGTGGCTTTTTAGGAGGATTATTCAGAAATGAATAGCAATATTAATTAGTTTAGTTCCCACACCATGGTTTCTTTTGAGAAGCATGCTGTTTTTGGTTTTGGATTTTTTTTCTATTCTAAGAAAGGCCCTCTGCCAAGCCAGTCATACACATACGAACCGCAGAAGCTATCTTCTCACCTGACTGCTGCTTGCCCATCTCTCTTGTTTTCTTCTGTCTCCTACAGCTTCAAAAGAATCTCGTCTCTCGAGTCCATGCCCATCTTGTTCTAATCTAATCTAAAGTGTATTTGTTTGCTGTTGGCAGGAAGGCCTAGAAGAGGCAGTGTCACTGCTGTCACTTCTGTTTTGGGCAGGAAGCAGCCTCAATGCTTTCTTTTGTGTGTAGTTTAGCTTCTGTCCATCGGACTTTGATTGCCTTCCCACCAAACTCATTGTTACATGATTAGAAGTGGAAAGAGGTCATTTTGACGACCTTATCAAAAAGGATAAGGAAAATGACTGTATCATATCATTTTACCTCAGTGGATTCTTTCCTGGGCCTTTCGTATTGAGATTTGGTATATTTTGGGGACTCTAACATTGCTCAGCCCACCCATCCTTACAGAAAGCCTTAAGGGAACTCTTCTCTTTGTGTTTCACATGCTAATCTCCCCTTCCTTTGCCCCCCCCCCTTTTTTTAAACTTCATTACTGTAGGGAATTCACTTGGCAGTCTTTTTACTAGGTATTTATAATCCATATCTGAGAATAAACTCAGAGGAAAAGTGGCTCATATCAGAAAATTTAGCTTAAAATATTTATTTGGACAACTTTAAGTGTTTGTTTTGTTTTCTAACGTTAGGAAATTTATCTCTACAGATTACCTTCAGCTTTTTTAAAACATTGCTGTTATGGCATTAACAGCTATATATATATATATATTTGTGTGGGTGAAACAGCATTTATAGTGTATCTTTAATTTTTTTCCATTATTCATTAGTGTATACATTTTTCTCCTTTTGAGATATATTTTTTGGTTCATTGGATATGGAAAAGAAATGTTTGATTTATTATTCTAATTTAAGTTCACTATCTCTTTTCCAGCAATTATTCTTTTTTCTCTTTTGTGCAGTAGTAGAAAATGAAATCCAAGCAAGAATAGACCAGATATTCAGCCATCTAGAACGTCTGGAGATTTTGTCCAGCAAGGAGCCCCCGAACAAAAGGCAGAATGCCAAACTGTGAGTGCTGACCTCTGACATAGCTCTGATGCCCCAGGCCCAGCAAGGCAGGCCTTTGTCCCCAGGGAGGCTGTAGAATATTCTGAAAATTCATGAACATACTGAAAAACTAGCAAAGATAAAGTGCCCCGAAAGGGCATAGTTCTGTCCCTCAGAATAAAAACCTGTGAGGTGTGTGGCTCAGAAGCCTGTGATCCCTTACCTCTTTGGTGTCGTTTTGGAATTTTGCCTCCAGTGTTTTTCTGACCAAACCCACAGCCACTTGAAGCCTAATACTGCCAGGGAGATTTACTCTGCTCTTTGGTTACCACTGAGTTCTTCTTAGATTGAAATGAAATCTTGCTCTTCGTCACTTCAGTAAGTTTGTCGATAATGAATACTGATCTAATGTTGGATACTCCATCATGAAATTAAAACAAAACCACCCTCACCACTTCCACCCCCAGCCCTTGCTCCCAAAAGTTAATAGAACTTTGTTGATGCTTTACCACAAAGACGCCCTTGGGCTTCTTCCAGGAGAGTGATATAATCCATAGAAGGTCAGGAAGAGGTCATTGAACCTGCTTCCTGTCACTTGTTCTCTGTCATGCATCCAGAATCAGTGACTAGCCGATATTTAGGTAAAGTCACTGGAATCTTGTGTGCAACAACCCCCTTTTAACCATAAGCTGCTACTTTGCTTTCAACATCATTGATCAAAATCTGATTTCTAGGGGATAGCACGGGGTGGTGTTGGGAGAAGTGAGGAAACATCTTTCTGATTACAAGCCTGGCTACCTCAAATTGTGTTGCCCCAGGTTCCTGGAATTTAATCTCTCTCTCCATCAATTCCAGTCGTGTTGACCAGTTAAAGTATGACGTTCAGCACCTGCAGACTGCTCTCAGAACCTTCCAGCATCGGCGCTACGCAAGGGAGGAGCAGGAGAGACAGCGAGAGGAGCTTCTGTCTCGCACCTTCACCACTAATGTAAGCCAGGCACCCAGTGGGTGTGGACAGGCACTTGACAGATTATTGGGGTTGGAGTTGAGGTCTCTGAGCTTCATTCTTTTAGGGCGTGTCTGAAGCAGATTGATGAGGAGGAGACCAACTGGAAATGACAGTAGACTTTGGGCATTGCCACAAAGATGATCCTAGCCGGGGAATCTCTTTCTCTAACACAAGAGCATGAAGAGGAAGCAGTTAAATCGAGGGAATGGGCAGAGGTGAAAATTACCTGGTTTGACTGGTCCGATGCAGGGAGGTGGAAGTTCACATGGTGCAAACGTTGTTCTGGTCAGATAGAGACAACGATTAGAACTTAGACTATTTGTAGAGAACGCAGCATTTCAAATCTGCCTAGAGGCAGTTTCCGTTGTGTCGTGTATGTGTGTGGTTATAGTGTCAGATGCATTAAAATGTTTTTGCCCCTAGTCTGAGCAGCAGTTTGGAGGAATTTGTAAACAGATGTTTAGTGTTAGACGGACTGCTTGACTTGGGACTGTTCAAAAGTGGTCCGTTGGTTTGCATGTGTGATATCTTAGAACACAATTATCCCTGCCCTTTAGTCTCAATAGGAGCTCTTCCTGCACATGGCTGTAGAACATACTGGCCTTTTTCTGTATCCTGTATAATCTGTTCCACCAAATGAGGTGGGTTTTGGTTTTTGTATTTTATTTTTCACAGAGGTTCATTCTTTAAGGAGGTTTTAGCTTTCTAAGTCTGCCATCAGAATTCAAGTCATTTCCCACTTTGCAGATGTTTAACTCTGTTGCTGCATCCCTGCTTTGCAATAAATTTCCCTGAGTGTTTCAGAATGTGCCTACATTGTTTTTGTTTCTCCAGAGTAAGCAGTCAAGTCTCAATGATTAACAATTCAAAAATATAACAAACTATAAGACATACTGAAAGATGTTGTATGAGCTTTTGATAGTTGTGATGTTGTATTCAGGCCTCTTTTAGGCTAGGGATAATTACTCAGGATTATTTTGTTTGATGCTGTGCATACAGTTGGCCCTTAATAAACTTTGACTTGCCAAGTGAAACTTCTTCCTAGTCATTCTACCACCTGGAGCTATAATAACATTTTTCTGAGAGACAATGGTCCATCAGCCATACCTTCTCAGATGGGGGGAGCAGGTAAGAAGTATTTGTATATAAAAGGTGTTCAATAAATGGCTTGTCAAATAAGTGAAGAAAGGTCTCTAATTGATCCTTTCAAACTCTGAAGTCTTTTTTTTTTTTTTTTTTTGTCTTTTGTCTTTTTTCCGTGTCCAGCAACGGATCGCAACACTCAGTGTTGCCCCCGTACCGGACCGAGGACCGGCAACGGGATCGCAAGCCTCGGCGTTGCTCCCGCGCCTCGCTCAGCCAGTGAGCGGGAGCCGGTCTGTATGTGGGATCCGAACCCTCGGACGGGAGCGCCACCGCGCTTCCCAAGCAGCGCACTATCCAGTGCGCCACCGGGCCGGCCCAAACTCTGAAGTCTTTTGACCCACTGAGTATTAGCTGTATGCAGAACACTAAGGTGCTAAGAGTAAAGCGTATGAAAAAATGAAAAGACGTACTCCTATCTGTGAGAAGCTCCTGTATTAATGGGGATGATTGAAAATGTACACATGAACACCAATTCTGAATTTGAGCAGCAAAGAAGAGGTGATTTAACTTCTTTGTGACAATTGAAACTGGGGTTTAGGTGGTAAAAACAGCACTGGTTGGCAGGAGAGTTTGTGATGGGCAGGAGGCAGGAAAGAGAAGAGAACACTATCATAGCTGGTAATGACCTGTTTCTGGCTACCATCTACTTTCAGTGTTAAATTAGAGCCACCAGATTGGTCTTGGTGTTTCTCCCTACAGTATAGCTAAGAAGGCAGGTCCTACATTCAGTACTGGGACTCTTGCCCTGTTGGGCTTCTTACCAGCTGTGTGATCATGGACAAACTATTCCACCTCTCTGGGCTTCAGTTTCTTCATCTGTAGAATGGGGATAATTAGAATAACTGCCTTGTAGAGTGAGGATTAAGTGAGCTTAGGGTAATCAGCCATAAAGTGGATAGCATTTGATTAGTATTTGTTTTTTCTCCCTTCGTTTGCTGAGCAAACTTTTCTTGCCTGCTCAGGCAAATGGTCTCATCCTGAACACCATTAGGCTTTCAATGGAAGGCACAGTCTCTTCTGTCCTTGTTCAGTTTCAGTCTAATTGGAGAGATAAGCTACAGATAAAGTAACTAAAGAACAAAAGCAAACATTTAATACTGCATGAAGGGGAAGCCAAGTGAAGGAACAAGCTAGTTTAGTGAGTAGTCAGAGAAAGCCTTTAGGAGAAATCCAGTGAGGTCTTGAAGGAATAATTTTTCCTAAATGGGGATAATGATACAGAGGCAGGAATTGACAATACTTGAAGAACTCATTTAGAGAGTGACAAATATGAGGGAAGTTCCTCCTCTTCTGTGTGAACAGAGGCCTCCCCAGATCTTTGCTTTGCTTTTTCTTCTCTGTTAGGTCCCTCAGATTCTTGCACCATTCCCTCTGGCTGTTCTTCTGGCTTGGCCTTGACCAAAAGGTGGAGCAGTCAGATGTGGTGGGGTCCCAGGAGCTGACTAGCAAGCAGAGTTAACCAAGTGCCTGTGTTTCTTTCACAGGACTCTGACACCACCATATCAATGGATGAATCACTGCAGTTTAACTCCTCCCTCCAGAAAATTCACCATGGCATGGATGACCTCATTGGAGGCGGGCATAATATTCTGGAGAGACTGAGGGCCCAGAGACTGACCTTGAAGGTGGGGTGCCTTCTGAAGGACAGGAAGAAGGCCTCTTGTTTTGGCTTTAACCAACAGTTTGGTACCTGCATTTACATTTTGATTAGGTGTCACCAAATTGTGATATTGTCATGGCAAGACAGAGCCCTTGAGTTTAGGATCCTTCCTGTTGGAGTTGTAAGCCCAAAAGTAACCAAATTCCCTTTGTCAGTGCTTGAAACAAACCGTAAATTGGCCTTTCCTGGTATCCAGGTCTTTTCCCATTTATTGAACTTGACATGAAAGTGACTGCTACTACAAAGGGAACCAATAATAGGCTGAGAAATACTATTATAGAATCTGTTCTTATAAGAATGAAGGCATGGCTGTACTTTGGTACCTCACTCTAAAGTAGTTTTCCCCTAGGGCCCCTACTATGGGCGGCCTTATAACTGAGACCTTTTTGCACTTCAGTGACTAAATCCCTGTTGGTGGGGTCTTAGGGCTGCCTGATTGCAGTAGGTAGCTTCTAGAACACATGGTGGTGACCCCCAGCCACTCCTCACTGTCTCTTCAGCTGCAGGTATTCCTAGAAGCCCTGCCCTGTTGGCATTGCTGAGACTCCAGCCCCTTGGGAGTGGTTTACAGAAACATTACACAGACTCTGATGTCAGTCATGGTGTTTCAGCCTCAGCCCTTTTCCTGTGTCAACCCTGCTGGATAATGGGGTGTGGGTTCTGCCTGTTATCAGGGTGTGGTCCCCTGTGAATGAAGCACTCCCAGCCACCGATCTGTGAGAAATAGTCACTCGGAAGCGTGAGCTTTATCTTAGTTTTTGTTGGACCACGTTGAGCCTGTCAGCCCTGCAGGACTTCAGTACATTTCTGAATAGCCCCTGCCATCTTTACCAGGGAGATGGTCATGCAAGCCACAAGTGACACTCGCCTGCTGCTGACAGGTGGCAGTGTTTTAGATGGCCTGGAAGGGTAGTCTCCAACAGCAGGCTGGGTTCTCCCCTTTCAGAACAGCCACCTGCAGTAATCTAAACTGATACATGTTGGTTAGTCTGCCCTTTGTTTAGAAAACTGTTGGTCTCCATTCCATATCTCAGAAAAACAGTAGAGCCCTTCTGGGACAGAATTCCCATGTCGTGCTGATGAGGAGCCAGTGAGGGTTAGAGCATACTGTTAAAGCAAATGTTAGCTTCCTACCGAAGGCTGGCACCATGAGGAGGGAGTCTGGGTACCTGCTGCCACCTACACTGCTGTCACAGGTGAAGTTCTGTCCAGGTGGTCAGGGTTTGAAACTTGAGGTTTCTAATTCATTTCCTTCTGCACACCTGTCCTTTGTCTCCACCTGCCTCCCACCCCACCTCTGTCAGGGAATTTTCTGCCTAAACCATTTGAAAGGAACATAGGAGAGAGCATGAAGGAGCTGGGCTGAAGCACCCTGACTTGGGCCAGTTCATGGTTGAAAATTAATGCATTTAAAAAAAAAATTATGGTCATTTGCAGTTGGTTTTAGAAGCTTGATCCTCGAGCCTCATACAGTGATGAAATAATCTGCACTTTTAGAGCTAAACAGGATCTTTAGGTAGAGTCTACTTTTTACTGTCACAATCACGGGAAAAAGCATTTCTCTGGTCTCCTCTGGCAGCATTCAGGTTTGATTTGAGATCCTTCTCGATGAGGCTTGTTAATTGTTGTCTGGGCAGAACGTAGGTTTTGAATTCCTGTCCAAGATGCCTCGTGTCATTCTTACCTCCCTTGCCTCTCACTCAGGCACTCACCAGTGTGTGTTCATTTAAAAACTGGATGTAGGCATTCAGTTAGATGCCTTCTGTACAAGTACAGTGGGTGATGTGTGTGTTAATGACTTGGGGTCTGTCCCAGCATTCATTTATATTTGTTACTTCATCAGAAATTGAATGCACTTAAAAATGAAAATTAGGAAGCAGTGAGGAAGGGCAGGCTGATGGTTTGGTGTTGGTTTACGAATAAAATATCCTTTTGTTTTGGTGGTGGGTGGTATCACTTATAAGGGTTTATAAGGTCATTATGTTGGTCTGTCCATTGTGTTTCTGTCTTTCCATCTTTTCCCACTTCAAACCCTCTCACAAATATGGACTTTGACCTACACATTGAACTCAGTAGAATCCCCAAAGATTCCACTCTGTAGAGTGAACAGGTTGGTATAAAGGAGTATTGGAGCTAAGGAGCCAAGAAAAAAATTTTTTAATGTAAAATATTCTAATTTTAAATATTTTTGTTGAGGTATAATTTACATACAGTGAGGTGTACAGATCTTATTTGTACAGTTCAGTGCATTTTGACAAATGCATACAGCTTTGTAACTCACACTCCTATCAAGATATAGACTGTTTTCATTTCCCCTGAAAGATCCCTTGCTCCCCTTCCCAATCTACCCCTCTCCCCCAGGCAACCACTGTTCTGTTTCACTATAAATTAGTTTTGCCTGTATTGAACTTCATATAAATGTATTCATACTACTATTTTGTGTGTGGCTTCTTCATCTCAGTAATGTTTCCTAGGTTCATTCATATTGTTACATGTTGGTAATTGGGTCCTTTTTATTGCTGAGCAGTATTCCAGTGTGCAGATATACCATAATTTGTTTATCCATCCTCTGGTTGATGGACAACTGGATTGTTTCTAGTTTTTAGATATTCTCCTGTGTTTTTTTTTAGAGGCTTTATTGTAGCTTTATCTTTTATGTTTAAGTCTATGTTCTGTCTGGAATTAATTTTTATATATAATATGAGTTCATTTTTTACATACATATGTGTGTCAGATATGTGTGCTGCTTAATGGCGGGAATATATTCTGAGAAATGTGTCTTTAGACGATTTCATTGTCATGAGAATGTGATAGTGTGTATTTATACAAACCTAGATGGTATAGCCTGCTACACACTTAGGATTTATGGTATAACCTATTGCTCTTAGGCTACAAACCTGTACAGCATGTTCCTGTACTGAATAGTGGAAGGAAATAGTAACACAATGTATTTGTGTGATAGGAACTTTTCAGCTCCATTGTAATCTTATGGTCCGTTGTTGACTGAAACGTTATGCGGTGCATGACTGTAAGTGATATATATATATATGATATGTTTTCATGTAGCCAGTTGTTCCAGCATTATTTGTTTGAAAGACTTTTCTTTCCACTTTGCATTGCTCTAGTATCTTGATCAAAAATCAATTGGCCATATGAGAGTGAATCTATTTCTTTTTTTTTTTTTAAAGATGACTGGTAAGGGGATCTTAACCCTTGACTTGGTGTTGTCAGCACCACGCTCACCCAGTGAGCAAACCAGCCATCCCCATATGGGATCCGAACCCGCGGCCTTGGTATTATCAGCACCGCACTCTCCCGAGTGAGCCACAGGCCGGCCCAGAGAGTGAATCTATTTCTGATTGATGTTGCCTTTTATATGCTCTGGGCATAACCAAGAGAATGTCTGCTGGTAAAGCTCCATCTCATGAAGACATTCACCCACGCTCAGCAATGGGGGTTGATGTTTGTTTTCCTTTCTCTTCTTATCTCCCCCAGGGGACGCAGAAGAAGATCCTTGACATTGCCAACATGCTGGGCTTATCCAACACGGTGATGCGGCTCATTGAGAAGCGGGCTTTCCAGGACAAGTACTTTATGATCGGCGGGATGCTGCTTTCCTGTGTGGTCATGTTCCTCGTGGTTCAGTATCTGACATGAGCAGCCAAGCACAGCAGCTGATCAACGTTCCCACTGCGTGAGAGTGTGTATGAGTGTGTGTGTGTTTGTGAGAGAGAGAGGAAGGCCCAGAGGCCGCCTTTTGAAACGTATGCCCGTCTTAACTGTGAAGACCGCTCCAGAGTAATTGTGATCTAGTTTCAAACCTGCTCTGTTTCCTGTGACATCTTGGAGGGGAGGCTAGTGCCACCAAGATGTGCGGTGCTTAGGAAATGAAAGAAGTCCCTTTTCTCTCTCACTCTCTGTTGCTCTGACTGGGGAAGGGAAAGAACGTGGTGGCTTTGTCCACACCGCTGAGGTGCACCCTGGGAAGCCTTCCACCTTGCATGCAGGACTTCCACATTGTTCACACCTTGTCATCATCTGGCCATTCCAGCTCCTAATGGATAGGCAGGAGCAAAAGCAAAAAGGAGAGGAAATAGGCCTGCTTTTCTTGCACCCGTTATGGTGGATCCATTCACATGCTCTTGCTCCATCCCCGTACCCCACCCCAACCCCCCACTGTACACGCAGAGACAGAAATGATAAGTAGATGACTAACTGCTAATACGCATCATCCTTCCCTGGAAGCAGCTACCTAGGGGAAACAGAGGTGTTGAAACTGTTGCTGATAACTGTGAGATTTTCCACACTACGGTTGTTGGGTGTGTCTCCTTTCTAGAGTGAGGCTGGTGTTATTCCCTGCGAGTGTTCAGTTTTGACACTGATGACCCTAGTCACTGACTTTTTCCCACTTGTTAATAGAATGGTTGGCTTTCGGGCCGGCCCGGTGGCGCACTGCGCTAGTGCGCCACTTGAGAAGCGCGGAGGCGCTCCCGCCGAGGGTTCGGATCCCACATACAGACCGGTTCCCGCTCACTGGCTGAGCGAGGTGCGGG